CCCCAAAACCCCAAAACCCCAAAACCCCAAAACCCCAGGAGATAAAATGATTGTTACAAATTGAACTAAATTAATTAAATAAAGTTTAATTTTAATCATTCTTTACTTTCTTCATCTTGCTCTTCAGGTTTCTCCAAGCTAAAAGGATGTGACAAGACCATTCCTTGTGTGTACTAAAATCCTTTCTCTAAAGACGATACTACACATCTGGCTATATTTCTTGCATCGTCTATACCAGAGTGATGTCTACCCTCTAATTCTAGACCACTTAGCTTTAATAGTTCTCCCATTCCAGAGACTGTTGATTTCTTAACATTCTTTATGAAATCTATTTATTGCTCTGGCTTTGACTTATCAAATAGATGCAATGGGAATACTTTCTTAATATTAATCCACCTTTTCAAATAACTAGGAATATTAAATTGCTTGTGCAAGGCTTCTCTTCTTATTTGATTACCGTCAAAATCTCCACATGAAAGGAAAACAAATTCTGTTTACAATACTCCTAATTTCTCAAGGAATGCATGAACCTATTGAATAGCTTCTTTTATTGGTACTCCTCCATCAACTTAACTTTGCTCTATACCAGTAAGCTTTGTGCAAAATTCAGTTAGCTTTGGATGGATTGTTGGTTTAACATATGTTTAAAATTCTCCAATAATCTACATTGATTTCACATCTATCACCACTACTGGGAACTCAATAATTTCCTAAATAAGTTATCAAGAATATCTTTTCATACATTAAATGTTAAATTCTTAGTGCCCTCCTCACATTGGCATTCAAAATCATAGACACATATATAATCTAAGGGTGCTTGATAGAGCATCAAATGTCTTTTAATGTCTACAACCTATCTAAAATATTTAGATGAAAGAACTCCATCGATTCCTGGAGATAGGAGGACTTTATTGTTTGAAATGTAAAAAGGAACTTTGCCTTGATACATAGCTTTAGCCATATTAACCTCAACAACTATTTCACAGCTCGCTCTCATTCCACTGATGACTCCCTTTTTAGTAGGCATACCTGGAGCCATATCTATTACAATTCAAAATGCTAAGAATATTACGTATATGATTTCTTGCCATCTTATTTAAACCAGTCTCCATGATTAAGTTAAATACTTTGAGGTAGGTACCATGAATAACCTCATCAAAACCAAATGGATCAATAATTGGAGTAAGAAGCTCCTCATTACTGATGGTCTAAATAGTGTGTCCCTAAGTGGCTCTTATGTAATGAACCTCAACACCTTCCTCATTGATCTCACTAATCAATTAAAATCTCTATTTATCATTTGATGCTACAATTGCCTTAATCATATCAAAATCAACCTTCAACTCTATAAAGCATTCATTTTATAATTCTGACTAATTACATTTAATTCTTTAAGCTGCCAGAATTTCATCTATCGGTACATATCCATCAGTTCTAATGCTGAGTCCAAGTTCTAAAGCACCATGCCTTAAAATCCAACTCAGAGATTTAGATATGGCTACATCTTTTCCACCGTGACCTCCTCGACCATGGCCTCTACCGCCTCTTCTTTCCATTTACTTATTTATTAAAGAATAATTTTATAACTTTTTTAGGAGAATTTCCAAAATACTTAATTACTCCAATTGAGTAAAAGTAGGGGTTTTGGGGTTTTGGGGTTTTGGGG